ACAGTCGAGAAATCCGATAAATGAATCCGGTTCACCCACGGCGTGCCGTGCCCAAATACGTAGCCGTAGACCCCGTCTGTGTAGCCAATGGTGAGAGTCACCTTGTTGTCACCCCCCGCCTGTTTCACGGGCGGGTTATCGTCGTTCACGTTCAAAACTGACGTGGTCTGGAAGTCATTCAGATCAACTTTGACTACCCACTGGCCCTGCCTATAATCTTCGCTGTAAGCGGGCGGGTGTGTATTACCGAAGGCATGCGTTACGTATGCGTAGCCGCCAGTCGCGAAGCCTCCCGACCAGCCTCGCAAGAACTGGTACTCTTGGCCCTCCGCGTGGGCGTACTGCGATGTAATATCTAACGTCTGGACGCCAGATGCACTCCAATCGGTCTTGTCTACCCTGGCGAGCAAATGGCAATTCCGAATGACGCCCCATCCGTCTGATGAAAAACCGGTGTAATCTTGCCCACTTGCGCCCCCACTCTGGCATGGGATGTAAAGGTGCGTATCCGTCTGGAAGATATCTATCCCCATGCTCTGGAATCCAGCATCTACCGCCGATATGTCAACATACTCGACCGATGCAACGTCGCCCCAGCCAGACGCAGGAAACTTGATAGCGTGCGTGTGCATATTGTAGGGGAAATCTGGCCATCCGAACTTTGTGACGACATATAAATTGTTACCGTCTGTGAGGCCTGCATTCAGGCGGCAGACGTGGTGACCTTGGTTGGCGATGGGGGCAAGGTCGAAACTTCTGGATTCGTCAAATCTGGTAATTCATACCGCCAGATTTTCGAGTTGGCACATGACCCCCACGTTTCATCCTTCTCTCCGAAATACACATACCCACCAAGCGCAAATCCTCCAGACACATCGACATTTAAGTCAACACTCGTAGTGGATGTCGTAGCAAAATCGCTCACCGAAAGCTGGAATTTAATCATCTGAGCTGCGCGCGAGACCTTCATGTAGCCAAACTGTCCAGACGGATCGGCGAAATGACTCATGCGTAATTCGGGACCGGGCAGGCTTAACGTTACCGGGCCCTCAACCGAAAATGCCACAGGCGAGCGCTCAGCCTTGTGGGAACTGCTGTTGAAGACATGGACACTGCTCAACTGCATCATCACCGTGTCGTAAACGGTGCTCGCAACCTGCATGTCCGACGGATCCCGTTTTTTCTCCAGCTTGACATGTCCCACTTGCACGACGTCATGGGCCATCAAGCTCGTAGCCTGTGTCGCAATCAGGAGTCTGGTCCATGGCGCTGCCAAAACCGTTGCCATCGCGGCAGACTGAGCGCCCGTAGGTGTGGAAGTGCGAATTGGTGGTTGGCGGATGTACAGTGCTTGAGCCAAAACGGCTACGGATTCGCTTCCGCTGGGCTCTTGAGGCGTCAAGATGGCCCCAAGATGGCCCAACATAGCCCCAAGAGAGGCCCGAGAGGGCCCCACGACGGCCCCAAGAGCGCCTCAAGAGCGGTCCAAGGGGGCCCCGAGACGGCATGTTTGAGCCTCCGAGGAGGCGATCCGAATTCGACCCCCCCCCTCATTCTGAACAACGGGGGCCAAGACGGCCCCAAGAGGCCTCCCAGATCCCCCCAAACAGCCCCGAGAGGGCTCCAAAGACCCTGCAATGACCCTGCAAAGACCCAGCAATGACCCTGCAAACACCCTGCAATATCCAAACTCCTTCCTCCCCTGCTTGGAAGGTTTACCTCCCCCCCCCTCCCTGGGCGTGGCTCATAGCAGCGTCTAAGATGGTCCAAGACGGCTCCAAGAGGGCCCTAGAAAGCCAAACATGGCCTCCTTCTCCTCCTCTTTTTTTGTTTTTCCTCCTCCTCCTCCTCCTCCTCCTCCTCCTGCTTCTCCTCCTACACCCAAGATGGTCCCAGCACCAGCACCACCACCAGCAGGAGCACCACGAGCAGCAGCACCAGCAGCAGCAGCACCAGCAACAGCAGCAACAACATCAACAACAGCAGCACCAGCAACAACATCAGCAGCAGCACCGGCAGCAGCACCAGCACCTGAGAAATTTCGAAATGCACGCGAGCTAAAGATACAAATCAGTGCAAGGGCTCAGATCAAGGATGCCCATTGAGATGCGGCTCTAACCTGCGCGTCATTGGCGTCGGATCGTAGATGCAGCAACCTGCGCCAGATACGCTCACCACAGGGAACACCATGGCGCATCTTGCACTGATTTCTGTCCTCTATTAAGCTTCACTGCGCGGAGCTAATGAACCTTCCGAAAAGGCTGTGCGACCGCGTGGTTCCAGGCGTCCCTGATTAACCGGCTCACCTGGTAATCGTTTCTAGATTGGCTGGTGGGGATGCTTTTTTGGTCGCGGCCGCGAGACACGCATCAGGCGGCGAAGGCAACGTCCGGGCCACGGGCGAGGCTAATTGGCTAAAACATGAGCGTCGGCCGGCCCCCTCACTGGTGGGGATACGCGAAGCGTCAAGAATCTGTTCTCCTTTTGCAGACGCTTTCAACTTTTGGAGCTGAGAGCCCTCGAGCAAACAGGAGGGCAACGCAACAAACCATACACTTGCTGCAGACAAGACCGCGCCTCCAAACGTGACAAATTAAATGCACATGCCAAACTAACTGCCTGCGCACACTTCTGGATCTTATTCGCGAACCAAGTAGTTTTCCGGTTTGTGGCAGGCACATTTGGATTGTCGTTGCTGGAGGCGTGCTCTTGTGGTAGAGCATGATGGGGGTTTTAAACACAGCCGAAAACGCAATATTTTCTCTACGCAATGTTTGTTTCCGCAATGTGTTCGACGCAATGTTTTCAACGCTGTCTGTGTTACGCTGTTTTCTACGCTGTGCCTTTTTAGCCGGGTTCGTTCGACGATGCCATGCGGCACCTTGTGGATGGACAAGGACAGAAGGCCACGTCTCTCCCTACCACGCCTTACCACACAGTACTACATAACACATCAGTAAAGCAACACATAGTAACACAGCAGAGCGCAGAACACACAATGTAGAAATCACTGCGTAGAACACTCTGCGTAGAACACGCAGCGTTCGGGAGTGTTCGAACAAGCGCCCCTAACGTATTGCTGTTTGGCAGAAATCTTACCCTGTCACGCTCCACAATGCAACACTCCATACCACAGCCGTCAAATAGTACAGCGTAAAATAACACAGCGTAGAAAACACTGCGTAGAAAACACTGCGTAGAAAACACGGCGCAGAAGACGCTTTGTTTGGGAAGGGTGTCGAGCAAGCGCATTTCAATTATCGCTTTTTGTTGCACAATATTTCCCGACTACGCTCTACAAAATTCCACACCGCAGCCGTAAAACAGTGCAGCATAAAACAACAAAGTGTAGAAACCACTGCGCAGAAAACACTTGCCCGACAACTGTCAACTCGAAACATAGGGCGACTGCAAATGGAATACCCAATTGTGCGGAGGAATCTGGGATGCGCGTACAAACTCTACGTAGCAAGCACTACGTAGCAATCACCACGTAGTAAACACGACGTACTAAGCACAGCATAATAAACACTACGTAGCAAACAATACGTAGAATCCACTATGTAGTAAGCACAACTGAGACCATACGACGTAGTAATCACTCGGTGGAAAACACTACGTAGGAAACACTTCGTAGACATCCCTACGTAGAACACACTACGTAGAAAACAATACGTCGAAACCACTGCGTAGTTTGATTTCAATCACCGGTAAATTTATTTCACCGTGAAGAGAACCCGTGGAGCTGGCGGGGATGCGCAGCGCGTCAATGCGGCGGGCCTCAAGCGTGCCAGCGGTGCTGGGAAACCCGGTAGGCCAGTTGGAAGCCGGGGAAGCGACCCCGTGAATTCCGACTGTCCCATGCCAACCCGCCTCCGTCCACGTAGCCCCAGCGACACGGTGCCTTGGGTCACGGCGACGCCCCTCGTCTTGATGACGGCCCCTCGGGTGCTCCAAGACGACATCAGACGGCCTCAAGATGGATCAAGACGGCTCGGCATGGCACCAAGAGGGCTCCCGGACGGGCCCAGGATGCACTAAAGACGGACAGGACAACCCAAAGCAGACCCAAGTGAACCCAAGACGTCAAAGCGCCCCCCGAGGGCCATTCCCAAGAGGCTTGCATCGTTAATGCTCACTATGTTGCTGTATGAATTTAGCATATTCGCCTTTTCGGTTTTGAAGGCCCAGGGCGCCCCCAACATCGCCCCAAGACAGTACAAATTTGCACAAAAAACGCCCAGGGCCTCAATACGGCTCAAACGGGCCAATAGACTCGCCCAGGACTCTCCAGGCAGCCCAAGACAGCTGCCCAGAGCCCAAGAGAGGCTCGAGAGAGCCCAAAGAGGGCCCGAATACGCTCCCAGGCGGCCCCAACACACGGTGAGACGAGCCCCTGATCCCCAAGGAATGCCAAGGTGTCCCCAGGAGGCCTCAGCAGAGGCGGCCTTGGGGCGCCCACGGGGGGCCCGAAAGGCCTCAACACGGCCCCAAGAGAGCTCCGAATCGGCCCCACGACAGTCCAAAAGCTCGACCGCACGCGCAAGTCCAGGCCATACCTCCGCGCCCAGGGGAGACGAGCTCACCGGAGACGCGTCGGGATCACCAACTCTCCTCCTCACTCCTGACTCCTCGGGAGCGTCCAAGAGGGGGCGTCCAAGAGGGGGGGGGCGCAAATCATGGCTGGCGGCATGTGCGCGGCCCAGGGGAGGGCAGTGAAATAAGAAGAGGCGCCATGACATCTGTGGAGACATCATGGCCCCTGCCATGTCATCCCCCTAATCATCACTCCCCTCTTGGCCGCCCCCGAACTCCTCACTTCTCCTGATCACCCGCCCCCTTCTCCCATCCTCCTGCTCACTGTTTGCGGGATTTACCTGCCTGTTTCCTCCCCGTGGTCCCGCCGTGACTGCCGCTCGGCGGGCTCAATGTCGGCACGCGTGTGGCATCTTCATAACCTGTGTCCTTGCAAGGGAAGCGTGGAAGACTCGGCCCGCATCCTGGTGATCGACTCCATGCTGAGCTTCTGGAGCTGTGAAACGACAATCGCGCTGGACTTGTTCATGCTCGCCTGCCACCGAATCGGGGGAACACTTGTGAGATGTGTGAAACTATCCTGCACTCTCTCCCTCATCTAAGATCAGGAAGAATCGAATCGGGAAACCTGATCAAATCATAAAGCGCATCGGATCGGACTGCAGAGGCATGGCGTCGAAATCGAATCACATTGGCTGATCCAAGATTTACAACTAGAGACCTCCTAGATGGGGACCGAGTAGATGGGGTCGCAGGATCCTTCGTCGATGCATCGGCGATGCATCGTCGACGTCAAGCTGCCTCGGCAACGCAACGTCGACGTAAAGCAACTCCGGCTCCACATCGAGCCGCAACGGCGATGCATCGGCACCATCGTCCGACCTCTACTCAGACCCCATTTAGGAGGCCGGGATCGGCTGCGTCAAGATTTACAACTGCATCTCGCAGAACCCGGGCCGCGGCAGACCGATGGAACATCGGAGCCGAAGTCGGGTCGAATCAGCCAAAATCGAAGTCGGATCGGGCCGAACTTCACCCGGTCGTCCCTCCCTCCCTCCCTCCGTCCCCCCCCTCCCCCCTCCCTCCCCCCCCCTCCCTGCCCCCCCCCTCCCCTCCCTCCCTCCCTCCGTCCGCCCCCCCTCCCCCTCCACAATTACTCAATATGAACACTACTCTCCCTCTTCCCCTGATGATGTCTTGGGAATATTCCCTCCCCCCCCCCCCCCGCGTATTGTTTTTTAATACACGGGTTTCCCCGGAGTTGGGTTTTCGCCTGCATTTGTTCTCAAAATGCTGCTCTCAATGAGGCACCGGCCTCATTTTCGGGCCCCGCTCGTTCCGAATCGTGCTCCCGCTGCAGCGCTGGCGTCATTTCCGCCGGCGCCCGGGCTGCACGCCCGAGCTCGCGCCCGGGCCGGCGCCCGGGCCGGGTCCGGAGCCGGTTCCGGCCGGCGCCGGAAAATCGAATTCCTAGGCGGCGCCGAAAAAAGGCCATTTCAATACAATTTTTTCTTCTGGAAATGCTGAATTTCTGCTTCCGGCGCCCGGGAGGCCTCCCGGGCCGATTCCGACGCCCAGGCCGGCGCCCGAGCCAGCGCCCGGGCTGGACGCCCGAGCCGACGCCCGGGCCGGCGCCCGGGCCGGGTCCGGAGCCGGTTCCGGCCGGCGCCGGAATATCGAGTTCCGAGGAGGCGCCGAAAAAATGCCATTTCAATACAATCTTTTCTTTTGAATATGCTGAATTTCTGCCTTCCCCAGAGTTGGGCTTTCGCTTGCATTTTTTCCCGAAATGCTGTTCTCGCTGAGGCGCCGGCCTTATTTTCGGGCCCCGCTCGTTCCGAATCGTGCTCTCGCTGCAGCGCTGGCCTCATTTCCGTGCTTCCGCTCGTTCCGAATCGTGCTCCCGCTGCAGCGATGGCCTCATTTCCGCGTTTCCGCTCGTTTCGACGTGTGTTTCCGCTGCAGCGCTGGCGTCATTTCCCGTGCCATACATATGCCACGGCATGCAATGCAATGCTAGGTTGATACTACGCTTCGCGGTGCTCTTCTACGCCATGCCATGCCGTGCTCTACAATGCATCGCGTACCCCTTCGGGATCATCGCCCTGCTTGACATCCGATTGTGCGAGTAGAGAGGGGATCTGCGCCATGGAAAGGGATGGGAGGGAGGGGTAGGATGTCAGATATGACGCGAGCGCACCTAGTTTGTCCCTCCCCCCTCCCTCCCCCTCCCTCCCCCTCCCTCCCCCTCCGTCCGTCCCCTCCACCCCGCTGTAGCGTCGCCTCCTGGGAGAGGAGGACGCGGAGGAGGAAGAAGATGAGGGAGGAAGGAGGAGGGGAGATGAGGAGAGGATGTGGGGCAGGAGGGAGACTCCGAGGCACGGAACGCGTGCGGGCTGTTTGCCCGATACAATGCCAGAGCAGAGCAGAGAGAAAGAGCAAACTCACGAACATGATTTGTCGGAAGTCTGCGCGGACTTCCTGGATCTGCGATTGACTCAGGGGTACTGGCGCTGCTACTGCTACCCTTCTCTCGTTCTCGCCTTTTCGGGCCTCACAGACGACCGAGCACACTGGCGGCAAGCACACAAACTTTACGAGAAATGGCGAGGGCTCGATCGAGCCACTCCGACTGCTCAGGGCTCGGCTCCTCATGGGCCAACGCTCCAAGCTTAGCATAGTGATCGGTGAGGTCGTTACCCGCCTTGGAAAAGTTAAATGGTCGTCGCCAGCAACATCATCGGAGGACATGTGACCCTTGACCTTACGAATCGGACCCATCTGCGAGTCCGCAAACCAGAAGAACATGCCAGCGCGCACGCGATTAAATGCGAGGTGCTCAGATCGGGGCAAGGACCAGAGCTGCACAACATTCTGGCAATTACTGTAGCCGACCGAGGGTTCTAGGGCATTCTGGCAGGCTGGAGCACATGCAGCAAACTCGCCCGCCTGCGCTGTCTGAGGGATGGGGGGAGCGAGGGGAGCATACACATGACCCAACTCCTGCCCAGAAGCGGATACAGAGACATATGACCACCCAGTGCGCGACAACTCGCGTATGACGGACCGAATGCACTAACCATCCATGAACATGTTACCTGTAACATGATAATCATCACGCGCTGGGTCACAAGCATGATGAAAGGTGGGCTCAGCCTGAGTAGGGGGCAGGGAAGAAATCTCCCGGGTGAGACATGAGACCGTGCGTGTACAACGCTCTGTCGTGCGCGCTGAGGTCAGTCCAAGACGAGGGAGCGGGCTGAAAATCACAGCCAAGCAGCTCTTGGCGAAGCTCACGACACTGCGAATGCTGACGCATGCAAAGCCGATGGAACATGGTATCCTGTTCCAGGCCGCACAAAGGGCAGAGCACGTCGGGGAGGATATACCCGTGCTCCACCGCTCGACACTAGGTCCAAGGGGCCTGACAAACAAGCCCACGGATACAGCCCTTTTCCCACGGAGTAAACTTGCTGGACGCCATAGCCGCCAAGGGCACGTCCAAACACGCTCTCCTGCCGAGACCAAGGCAGTCCCTGGAAGCTCGTTCGTGACAGCGCATTACAGCATGGCGGAGGAGTCGTTTCAGGAGGGCTGGCGAGACCAAGCATAACTGAACCTCAACCCCCATGTCGTCCACCAGGTCCGTAAACGACGGCATATGCCACCCAAGACGCTCCACCGACAACCTCATGGCCCCTACGGGGCCACCCATCTTCCTCCGGGTGGGGGTGGGCCGAGAAAGCGGACCCCCAGGACATCCGCAACCCGGCCAGGCTGAGGCCAAACCCGAAGGCGCCAATGAGGCTGGCCCAGACTTCTTTGGACCAACGCACTATCGGGGCCACGGCGCAATACCGCGCGGGGTCGGCGGCAAACAGCAAAGCTGCGGTGAGCGATCGCCCTCCACCCGTGGGGCTCAAGCACCGACCGAGCGACCTGCGCAGGCCGGCCAGCTCGTGATCCGAGGTGTCGTGCACCTCGCAGCCGCAGGTCCGACAGGCCAGGGGGCGGCCGGTGAAAATGCGCTTGGCGCGTCGCCCCGAGGATGAGCGATGCGCGCCAAGTCTATGAACTTTCCTTTTGGAAACCTGTTTTCGAACCTCAACCTTTCCTCCTCTCCTCGCCGTCCTCCCTGGTTCCCCCGCGGCATCATCAATGCCGAGGCTGGCGGCAGCGGCGCGCGGAAGGCCGCCGACAGCGCCGAGGCCACGGCGGATCTCCTTAGCAACGAAAGGCTCAGAGGCGACGACAGCCGCCTTGCTAACAGAGATTGCACATCCCATATCGGACTCGAGGACAATCTGAAGCTTGACCGCCCCCTCGAGAAGATCCTGAGCGACCGCTCTGGGGCGGCCCGTGCAAGAAAAGGCATAGTCGTCTATATAAACTCGCAGGGGGGCCGATCTGGGCAAACTGATGCCGTCTAAGGCAGCTAGCGTGAACACGCGAATCAGCGTGGTCGCGAAACCACAGCCGGCTATGAGACCTCTCCAAACAAACCGCGGGCCGTCGACGCGGCCGTTCATAGCCATATATGCAGGCGCGGCGCGCCGCGTAGCAGACGCGAGCGATCTGCGTGGGAAAGTTGTGCTGGCGGCAGCGGGCGAGGAGAAGGTCGAGGTCGACGGATTCGTAGAACTTGAGACGTTCCCAGAGCACCGACTACGAGCAATCCTGGGGCGCGACCGCGACCTCGCTCCTGACCCCTTGCCTCCGGACCGCATCGACGCGAAAAGCAAAAGCACCAGCGAAAACACAGAAAAAAAAACGCTAACTTTCGGCCTCCCACTGGCGGTCGCGCGCGCGACGGGCACGGGCCCAACGCCAATGCATCGCGACGAACAGGCCGATCGGGCGGCGCCCTCCGTCGGGCCTACAACCCCCTGGATTAAAAAGTGGAGACCGCAGGGGCCGAGGTAGACGTGGTTTGCCTCCCGTTAGGCAGCGGGGCCCCGGGGCAATGTTGGATTTGTTGCCAATTCCGGAGTTTCCGGTGCCTCCATCATCCCTTTTAATATTATAAAGGCCAAATGGGGCTCCGACCGGAAAGTGGGATTCTGCCTAGGAATTCCTCAAAAAAAGTTGCCGGTCGCCTTCCAGGGCGACCGGAAATTCTGCCATGCCACCGGAAAGTGGCGATTCCGCGTGGGACTTCCTCAAAAAAATATTCCGGTCCCTTTTGAGGCCGCCAGACAGTGGCGATTTCGCGTGGGACTTCCTCGCGCATTACTTTTTGTCGCATCTCATGCCGCCAGAAAACGACGATTTCGCTTGAGACTTCCTGACATTCGAGTTTCTGGTCTCATGTACGCTCACACAGACGCCGCGGACCTATTCCTCTTCCCACTCTCTCCTCTTGTCATCACAGTATTGGATTGTTCCGTGTCGCATGCTCTCCGTGCAAGTCAGATTCCAGTTGCCACAGCCTCGCGCGCGCGGTCCTATCTGCGCCTGGGCGGATGTCCGCAGGGATGGCCGTTGCATCGTTCGGTTCACAGGTTTGTCTTGGAGTCATCTTGAGGCCATCTTGAG